ACAAAATGCAAACTCTGGCAATGCAGGCTACCTAAGCCAATATATATTAATTATATATGTTGTTGTTGTTGTTCATTCGTTCAGTCGTCTCCGACTCTTCGTGACCTCATGGACCAGTCCACGCCAGAGTTCCCTGTCGGCCGTCACCACCCCCAGCTCCTTCAAGGTCAGTCCAGTCACTTCAAGGATGCCATCCATCCATCTTGCCCTTGGTCGGCCCCTCTTCCTTTTGCCTTCCACTTTCCCCAGCATAATTGGCTTCTCTAGGCTTTGCTGTCTCCTCATGATGTGGCCAAAGTACTTCAACTTTGTCTCTAGTATCCTTCCCTCCAGTGAGCAGCCGGGCTTTATTTCCTGGAGGATGGACTGGTTGGATCTTCTCGCAGTCCAAGGCACTCTCAGCACTTTCCTCCAGCACCACAGCTTAAAAGCATCTATCTGATTATATATACACATGCATATTTGTGTGTGTGTGTGTATGTAGTGTGTATATAAAATGCACGTGTGTGTAGTATAATTATAATATACTTAGGTACTTAGGTTTGCATTTTGTAATTGTATTTATTAGTAATAATACACACATCAGGTAAAGGTAAAGGTTTTCCCCTGACATTAAGTCCAGTCGTGTCCGATTCTGGGGGTTGGTGCTAATCTCCATTTCTAATCTGAAGAGCCGACGCTGTATGTAGACACCTCCAAGGTCATGTGGCCAGCATGGCTGCATGGAGTGCCATTACCTTCCTGCAGAAGCGGTACCTATTCGTCTACTCACATTTGCATGTTTTCGAACTGCTAGGTTGGCAGAAGCTGGGGCCACCAGCTGGAGCTCACCCTGCTCCCCGGATTCAAACCTGCAGTCTTTCAGTCAACAAGTTCAGCAGCTCAGCGGTTTAACCCACTGCACCATCGAAGGCTCCAGTAATACACACATACACATGTATATTTAGAATATGGTAATACTAATATATTACATACTAGCTGTCCCCTGCCACGTGTTGCTGTAGCCCAGTCTGTTGATCCGAAAAATAAATTAATGAGAAAGTGTTGGTTTCTAATATATGTAATTTCTTGATGCTTGGGGGTAAACAGTATTTCTTTGTCAGTGTTGATGTGGAGAGTTTCTGGTTTTCCTACTCTGGAACATGCAACATATAATTGTCCTTTAAGGGTCCCTTTAAATCTAGGATACTATATCTCTCTGTGTGTGAATCATATCTATCCATCTATCTATCTCTATATGGCTGGATGGCTATTTGTCAGGAGGACTTTGATTATGTTTTCTTGCCCTCATGAAGGGAGTTGGTTTGGATGGCCTTAAGTATTTTCTGTTGGTCATGGGGCTTCTGTTTGGGAAGTTTGCCCCAATTCTGTTATTTGTGGGGTTCAGAATGCTCTTTGATTGTAGGTGAACTGTGAATTCCAGTGTCTACAGCTCCCAAATGTAAAGGTCTATTTCCCCCAAACTCCATCTGTGTTCACATTTCGGCGTATTGAGTGCTTGTGCCAAGTTTGGTCCAGATCCATCATTGTTTGAGTCCACAGTGCTCCCTGGATGTAGGTGAACTACAACTCCCAAACTCAAGGTCAATGCCCACCAAACCCTTCCAGTATTTTCTGTTGGTAATGGGAGTTCTGTGTGCCAAGTTTGGTTCAATGCCATCGTTGATGGAATTCAGAATGCTCTTTGATTGTAGGTGAACTATAAATCCCAGCAACTACAACTCCCAAATGTCAAAATCATATTTTTTTTGAGTGATAGTCACTACTTGTGTTGTGAGATGCTTTGTTGCCAAATTTGGTGTGATTTCGTTCATTGGTTCTTTTGTTTTTAAGATACTCATTATGGACAGAACATTTTTATATAGATAGTTTGCTACTGATAATTCCAGGTGTTCTTGGAATAAACGGATTATTTAGATCCTTCGCAGTTGGACTTCAGATTGGGTCATGGAACTGAAACTGCCTTGGTCTCCTTAATGGATGATCTATGCTGGAAACTGGGCCTGTTGGTTCTCCTGGACTTCTTTACCTTAGACCGTGGTTTCCTTCTGGGACGCCTTGTGGGAATGGGGCTTGGAGGAACTGTTTTGCAGTGGCTCCGGTCCTTCCTGGAGGGTTGCTTTCAGTAGGTGTTGTTGGGGGACACCTGCTCAACCCCCTCAGCCTTTGTCCTGTGGGGTCCTGCAGGGTTCAATATTGTCCCCCATGTTGTTAAACATCTGCATGAAGCCACTGGGAGGGATAATCTGGAGATTTGGAGTTTGATGTCCAACTTTACTACTCCTTTCCACCTGCTGATGAGGAGGCTATTCTGGTCCTGAACTGGTGCTTGGCAGCTGTGACCAGTGGCGGCTCGTCCATTACGCGAAGTAAACGGTCGCAGAACACTTTTTTTGCCAGGGGCGCAGAGGTGCCTCTGTAAATGCCCCTCGAATGCCACTTGAGGAGCGCCCCCTCAGCTCACAACAGCCCTAGCATTCCGGGGGGAGCGTCAGCTTTCTTGCCTCACTGCCGGGCGATCCTCTTCCCAAAGGGGCCGGGCCCTTGAGCCTTGCCTAGCCCCTCTCGTTCCTGCTCCACCCGGTCACCTGGTGCGCGAGCAGAGCCAGCGCTCAATCGTTCTCCGCGTTCAATCCCTTCCCCATGACCGGCTCCCTTTCCCGATCCCCCGGCGCTCCACCCGCCTCCTCTCCCTAATCCGCGGGTGGGCCAAGGGGCGGAGCCGCCGCACCTGGCCCGCTTTGGGTCCAGAGGCATGTCTGAAGACCCCAGCATGCGCACCAAAAGTCACCTCTTCTCCTGACTTTCTCTTCAGCCATTGGGACCAAGAGAGAGAGAGAGAGAGAGGCTGGAGGTATCTCCCACCTCCGCTCCCTCCTTTGTTTTTGCGCCTACCTTCAGGAAAGGTGGGCATCTCCACCTCTCTCTCTCTCTCTCTCTCTCTCGGTCCCAATGGCTGAGGAGAAAGTCAGGAGAAGAGGTGAGTTTTGGTGCACACACCGGGGTCTTCAGGCACGCCTCCGGACCCAAAGCGGGCCAGGCAAGGGAGCAAGTGCGGCAAGTGTAGTTACTGGGATGTATAGTTCACCTACAATCAAAGAGCATTCTGAACTCCACCAATGATGGAATTGAACCAAATATGGCACACAGAACTCCCACGACGAAAAGAAAATATATATCAATGATTGGTTGGTGGGGGGGGGGGGCAAATACTGTTTGCTTACCGTTGAAAATTACCTAGGCCGCCTCTGGCTGTGATGGTCTGGATGAGAGTGAACAAATTGAAACTGAATCCAGACAAGGCAGAGATCCTTCTGGTCAGTCGCAAGGCCAAACAGAGTATAAGGTTATAGCCTGTGTTGGGCGGGGTTACACTCCCCCTGAAGACACAGGTTCACAGCTTGGGAGTCCTCCTAGACTCATTGCTGAGCCTGGGACTCCAGATTTCAGTGGTGGCCAGGGGGGCATTCGCACAATTAAAACTTGTGCGCCAGTTGCGCCCATAGCTTGGGAAGTCAGACTTGGCCACGGTAGTCCATGCTTATGTTACATCAAGGATAGATTGCTGCAACATGCTCGATGTGAGGATGCCTTTGAAGACTGTAGTCCAATGGGCGGCAGCCAGGTTTCTAACTGGAGTGACTCACCAGGAGTATGTAACAATCCTGCTAAGCCAGCTCAACTGGTTGCCAGTCTGCTTCTGAGCACAATTCAAAGTGCTGGCTTTAGCCTATAAAGCCCTAAATGGTTCCAGCCAAATTTACCTGTTTGGACATATCTCCCTCTATGATCCACCTCTGA